CTTTCACATACTTACTTAAGAACACTGCATCCCTTTCCTAAACCCTTGGAAAGAAGTCAATGAACAACACTATGGGAGAACATCAAGTATTACCAGAAGAGATGTTAACCAAAAGTACAAGTGTCATTTACTCAGTTTCCGTTCACGTTATACATAAATGACAGATTTCCCTATACCTTTACATATACCTCAACTTGTAACATCACATTCACAACCTTTTCATAGACATATAGCCTGAAAAAGGCACCCCTTTCGGGTAGAGCCTATCCGCATAGGCCGCTATTGGGATCACTTCCCGGATTACATCCCAGATTTTTCGACTGTGAGTTGCCGTTACTCATTCCTACTATCTGGTAACTATCGTTCTTCAAACCATTACTTTTTAGAATCAAGCTGGAAGAAACAGAAACTATTGTAGAACTCACTGATCTTCAAACTTGGGTTCAAATGTCTTGATAGCTTCCGGTCTGCGTGCTTGCAACGTGAGATGTTTTCGAGTCAAGCTCTTGTCATGGAGATCATTTATTGTCGTCAGAAGACCACTGTGAAGTTCCTAATGCAGAGAAAGATGTAATGTAGGAGTTAATCCCAAGAGCGTGACATGACCCTAGCCTGAGGAAGGTTAAGAACGATCTAGGCTTCTAGTTCGAGTTTCGAAAGTGTAAAACAGTGACGAAAATACAACACAAATACAACACAAATACTGTACAGCTTGTGGACATCATTACCTTAACAGAAGCAGGATAAAGTTCCACCGGTATTCTGTAGAATAACAGAAATTAAGATCAGTACAAAGCAAATTAAAAGGTCTTGCACCACTCACTACTAGAATTTACAGGAAAAACACCCATTGCACAGGAAAAACAGCTGTCGTTATTAGAAGGATTAGTGAATGACTGTTTGTGTGGTTAAGTCCATAAATCCGCTTAATTTTTGAAAGGGAAATCCCGGGGAACACCTTTGAAAGTTTTCGGACGTTTAATTTTCGGACAAAAATTTCGGACACTTTGCTGAAACATACCTAAAGAGCCTGCATAGCAAGCGTTCCCGTACGAAGAACTTTTCCGCATTCTGGCCGCGCGTCAATTGGAGCCAGAACAAAAAAATCCACGAAGCAGGGGGTGGTGAGGCGACCGATATTTTCTAATGCGTCTAAGATCACTCGCAGAAAAGATTTGATCATGCTGATAATTCTATTTTATTAAATCTACCAGCGTTCTATCACGAGTGCCACTCTCTGATTGGCTATGCTACTCACAACCTATTCTGTTGTAGAGAGCTAGAAGCCTAACAGTGTGCGCTTGTTAACAAACAGGCGGCCGCTTCTTCGCGTTTTCGAAGTGTGAAAAGGTGTTAGATAAAGTTTTGAACGACGAGCAGACTTTTACTAAAACAATTAGATTATTCGCTCTCATTTACTATGCGTGACAGTTGACGAGGGCGCAGCCCTCGTCAACTATAACGCGATAGAAATCTTGAGCTCATAATCTAATTGTTGAGTGTGTAATTTTGAGGTACATTTTGCTCCTTGCAAGTTCTATGTTGGATCTGGTCAACGGTCAACCCCAATGCGTACCTTTGTAAATGTTCTTTCACTGGAGCAAAAACCTCAAAACTAGCCGGCACGTCTTGGTACAAGTGAACAAATCGGTCCAAGGTAGAAAGGCAATGGCTTAGAGAGTCAACCCTGCAAAAAAAGGAAACGAAACAGTTTTATGACAGTATAATACATGACTTTTGCATCAGTTTTTATTTTTTACACATTATTTACCTTATTTCGTCACTCGTCAGTTCATCTTGTGTGCTCTCTCCGAGGGTCGTTGTCAGCGGTAAAGGTTTGACAGTAACAGGGCTGAAAAGGTTAAGTCAAAACTAAGCACAAGAAACTATGGAGAAAGACTGTGTCGAGAGAGGTAAGCTAAATGTTTGGGTGAACAACTATACGGACAAAAATCATCCTTGTTTTCTTAGTGGGGGTGTGCGGACCAAATCTTAAAACCTGGACCCTATTTCAGACCAAAATCTGCGTTTTTCCATACCCTGTTTAAGACCTGAGCGAAAAATCGATATTCCATTTCAGACCTCTAAAATTAGCACATGGCTCTAATGTATGACCGCAGCTAACCAGAATTGACTTCAATTTGCGTAGACATTTGAGAAGGGCTACAAAAGTTTGTCGATGGTGATGCGGGAAAAAATAGTTCCTTGTAAACAAAATACGCTATGCCAAGCCAGAGTGAAAAACATACCCTATTTCAGGCCAAAATGGTCGAAATCTATGTCCTTTTTCAGACCAAAACCACACCCTTTGAGGCCTCACAGTACAGCCCCTCCCGGTATCAATTATACCCAAAAAGGCAAAGCTGATGCAAGAGGAAGTTTGGAATTGAAATTGCTATGCTAGCCTCAGGCGAAAGCTATGCAAACTATTCTATGGCCTTCACTGAAGCATCGGCTAAGTTGTACAACCACTGCTTTCACTACTCGTTGAGACTGGTTGACCTTGCTTAAGTGAGTCAAAAGCTTGCCCAACAAAACTTGGAGTTTCAAGTTGCCAGAGGAGCGTAGGAGACTAAATGATTCTCGCTTGACACCAACGAGAGATGGTGAATACTACTGAAGACTTCAAGTCTTTAGTACTTGACTTCTGCGTCGTCTACTACTCCTCCTTGTTCTACTTTTACTCAATACAACTTTAAAATGCACCCACTTTTATGCTAACTCTAGCTTCGCGCAGGACTCAAGCCAAGCGTAAACCAAGGTACAAAAGAAAGTACTCGGATGTAAATCCTAAACGGACGCAGCTGGCTTGCTAAGGCAAGCAGAGATCAACCAATTGAAAACTAGAGGAATACAATAATCTTTAGCAACACTGAGCTAACCTTGGATCTATCTAGGGGAGGCAGAAACCAAGGTCACAAGAACGACATACACATTTACACACTCAGGTGAACGTCCGAACACAAAGTTCTAGAGTGAAACGTTTCCAAGGAAAACGGAAGAAGCGTTCAAGAATTGACTGTTTCACAGATTTGAGTTAACCTTGGCTGGCCAAAACTAAACCTGCTGCTTTCTTAAAAACATAATTTCTAAATATTTGGTTCTACAACAGCTTAGCTTCTTAAAGTTGGTTTTCACTAGCGACGGAGTCGTAGTCGGAGTCATAATCAGAAGCGTAAAGCGATACGATCTAGTGAAAATCACACCGACGGAGTCGGAAGAAGAACACCCATTCCGCTTATGACTCCGTCGCTTACGATCTAGTGAAAACTAGTTTGTCGGAGTCGGAAGCAAAAGCGGAAGAATAAACCAATCACAATGCTCGATTCCGGGCCTTGTGATTGGTTGGTCCTTCCACTTCTGCTTCCGACTRCGATAATCTGTTTTTACTAAATCATAAGCGACGGCCGGGAGTCGTAAACGGAATCGGAAGAAATGGAACCGTTCTGATTCTTCCAACTCCGATTCCGTCGAGCTTATGACTCCGCTTACGACTCCGATTTTCGATTTTCACTAGGTCGTAAGCACTCTTACGTCTCTGACTACGACTCCGACTCCGACTCCGTCGCTAGTGAAAACCAGCCTTTAATGCTACATAACCCTGTCTTTTTTCAGTGTTACCGGATGATTAACAACGACGACTTCCCTTGAATCAAGAACGCAGTCTGAAAATATTCCGAAAACAAACTTCACCGATTATCCAAGACAAACCTTCAATACTGACCTTGAATCCGATTGAAGTTTAAGAAGATCTCGCCATTTGCTACTGTCTTTAAATGGGAGTACAAGTTGAGCTGCGAAAAATAAAATATTTATTCACCTTCAATCAGTCAATGAAGAGAAGGGGGAAGCCATGCAATGTTCGACTGCTTCAGCCTGGAGCTGAACGGCGATGTTGTCAACACAAATAAAAGACGCAAAAATCTCTCCCACAACAGAATAATGTTCCACTGAAAAGCAAAAGGATGTTGGTTGATACTTACGCGTAGGACTCTCTTTCTTGGAAGCCAAGAACAAAATTCCACCTAAAAAATTGACGGCTTCAGGAGCGAATCGCTTTGATAAAGCTACGTACTGCAAAAGAAAATTAACAATGAATACTTTGACATTTCTTGCATAAGTCTTTTCCTACTGGTTTACTCAATAATAACAAAAAGCGATCAGCATCGGACAATGGGGAAACCATTGTTGAGAACATTGCCTCTGAACAGGCTCCGGCTGAAAGGGTCTGACCGCGGCTAAAAGGGCCGAGAAGAAACTGGTGGAGAGTGAAGTGACCGAGGGGGGATCCTCAACTGGAGAGCCTGTACATAGGCTATTGAGAACAACGCCCACGACACAGGAAAGACAAAAACAAACAAACAAACAAACAAACCTCAAGGAACAGGTCACAGACAAAAAGACCTCTGAACACGTCTCGCATACATCGCACTGGACTCTGCAAAGAATAAACAAACAAAGATAGAAGAATAAGCCTGAACGGAGTTGATAAACTATAACACATTCCTTCAAATATTTTCGCTCGCACGCGATCATGCAGTCAAAGCGCGTCACGTGACTGAATATTCTCCAGCTAAAACTGGAGAATATCTGAGTGACATTCCCCAATTTTCAAAGCTGCGCGTTTTACGAAAAATATTTGAAGGATAATAAACACAAAAGCCTCCATTTGGCGCGAAAGTAAGCTTGAATATTTGTCCTTGGACATTATCTGTTCCCCGAAACTCACAGTTTCCCTCGAGCTACGCTCTCAGTCGAAAAACTGTTGGCTTCTCGGAACAGATAATGTCCCAGGACAAATAACATAATATGCTTTCGCGCCAAATGGAGACTACTGTTTGTCTTGGGTCGCATCAAACACCTAAATCCTTGACTGATAAACAAGTTGTGACTTACCTGTGCCAACACCTGAGATAACAGGACCATAGCTGGCGTACAAACAGAGTGTTTGAAGTCTGATGTGGAAAACAACATGGATACAATCCGAAGGAACAGCAACTGAAACAAAATAAGAGTTTATAGTCATGATAGGGAAAAGATCTACCTACTTACTGTGAAATCTGCATCAAAGAACATTTCCTAGACACAATACATGTTTTAGAAACTGGAAGAGCATTTAAGATCCGGATTTAAGATTAAAAAAAAAAAAAAACTGCGCTAACAACACAGCGAACAGTATTTACCATAACAATAACGATCACAAAGATACGACGTGGCAAGGACTGTTTCATTTGAAAGAGAACTTCTAAAATAGCGTGTTCTGGAGCTTGCTGTCATGAGATGTATCACAACCTATCCCACATTTGTAAGACAAGCTCTAGGATTTCTGTCGCACAGCAATAACGAGATGAGTTGGGTGAAGAAACAAGACACCTCCTGCCTACTGTGCACAACGTTGACTTGTCCTTAAGTTGCCTTATACCCGGGAAGACTCCCATCTAAAAAGGATGGGGGTGCTCGTCAGAAATTTTGAAACCAAGATCCTGTTTTGTGGGCGTGGCTTCAAATTTTTTTCACCCCTAAGAGCACCTGAGGTACCAATTCTAAAACAACACATTATCTCCTGTGATCTTTTCTCCGGCTCCTTTGCAACTCCTAAAAGGTACGATGAGCAATACCGTCCTTTTTACATGGGAGCCCCCTCTCCCTGGGACCTTACATCTCGGCAGTCAAGTTTAATCTCTACTAGCTACTGGGTACTCCAAAACTAAATTTTAGAGTCTTACCTCAGGAAGACCCAAGAACATTCCTTTCCCGCCTGAAAGAGGTTAATATAAAACATTTTGTGGTTTAGCTACGAGTACAAATGATTTCCTGAACTTATCAACGTGGAGTTGGTAGAGGTAAATTTTTGTGAAGCTGATACAGTCGAACCTCCCGTAAGCGACCACTCAAAATGTCAAGCTTAAGTGGTCGCTCACGGGAGGTGGTCGCCTAGGAGAGCTTAGACCATGTTGCATCAAAATTTTGCCTCATAAGATATGGTAAATGCAGGCACTTACCCATATTTTAAATGCTTTATACATATAAGAAGTCAATTTCGATAAAAAATACAGTGCTTCCCATCAAAACATTTCCGTGCTATCCAGGTATACGATAATGTTACAACACCTTATCCATTTTCCTCTCTATTATCGGTCAATTGGTCGCTTACGGAAGGTTAAAAACAAAAGAAAATTTCAACCTTTAAGCTCTAAAAGTGGTCGCGGTCGCTTACGAGAGGTGGTCGCTTACAAGAGGTTCCAAATAGTGATTTTACTTGGAGACTTTTCGTATTTTGGAAAACTGGTCGCTGAGGAGAGGTGGTCGCAACCGGAAGGTCGACTGTATTTCGATTGTTAAACGAAGGCCTAACGCTCGAATCGTAAGCTCCACAAACGCGGAATGTCAATGACAATCGGATGAAGCCCTTCACTGATAGACTCGCGAATGTCGAGATTGCAATGAGAAGGACTCCAGAAGATAAATCAAAATCAAAGACGTGTGAGAGAGACTTAGGGGAGACAGATGCAGGACCAGTTACAACGTTAGTGTAAGGACAGGCAACATTCAGTAACGTTGTTTAGTTATAGCCTACAGTGCGACTTAGATCAAAGGGTATTTAAACAACTAGCCAAAATAGCCTCCTGCGTGACGCTCATTGGGCTCGTCACGCAATCTCTCCTCGTCCGTGACGCGAAAAAAGACCTCGTGAAAAAAAGCGAAAGAGGGGCTATTCGCAGTCTACCTCTCCTTAGTAGGTAGGAGCCTCCATAGAACAAGGCACAAATCAGTTGACGATTAACGATTTCTATTTATATACAGATAGAAATATTACAAGTAAGCTATTTTCACCTTGTCTGTCTCGATTCTCTGTGAACTGTTTGTGTATATCCTTTACAATCTGCTGCATACATTTAGCGGAGTGAACGGGAGAATACTGCGCCACATCAAACAGATGTCTGCAATGAAGCAAAATATAAACTCAACGGCTACTTCAAGCCCTTAACCTTTACATGAGCTGAACTTTAATTCCAAACCCTAGGATGCAAAAACCTTTAGCTCTAATACCCAGAAATTTCCAATGAAAGCCCATTTTTTCTGTGAATGCTGGAGGATTTCTAGTTAGAGTAAGGAACTCCGTAAAACTGTAAATTTCCGTCACTTCTGTTTCTGTATCATTTGTACGTTTCACCTGCTTCCAGTCTGTTTTTACTTACAGTCTGTCTGATTTTGGCAAAGTCGTATTCAAAGGAACTCTAACCGGGTTCTTTCTACCAATGGTTAAGTACTCCTAGTCCATGAATTTCTCAGTGCCCGCCAACAAAACGTCTGCGAATCGCTGCCGAGGAGCGAGTTTTGACACATCAGAACTTTACATCCGCTCGGAATTGAGCTCATCACTCCATAACGAACGTGAACTTTACTCGTGTGGTGTTCACTCAATCCAGTGCTTGAGGCAACAGCAGGCGACCAATATTTGAGTCCTGGGTCGCGAAGATCCACAATCAGAGACAAACGTGTTGAGACATTTTTGCAAATCGGACGTTTTCAAACCAAGATCCGTACTTCCCTTGATAAAAGAAACACCTTTTACGTCAAAAGTCACCCCCTCCCCAGAATCAATGTTGAAACGGGCTTTGGCGGCGCTGCCACGTGGTTACAACATTGGCACGGGGGGCGGGGAGCGGGGGGAGGGGCGAAATGTGAGGAGTGTAGGTTGGGCAAATTACACTTGAAGGGAGAAAGTTTGCTTTCGGGAAGTGTCTCAGCTACTTTTGTCCCTGATTGCAGGTAAGAATCTGGCACTGCCTCACACGTCAAACGTAATGTATTGCACATAAGTCAAGCGAAAATTAGCGAAAAAACAAATAAAAAAAGAAGATGATTTGTTTAAAGGGTTCTAGCTGGTACTTACCGTGTCACCTTGTCAATCATCTTGAGTCCTGCCGAACCCATGAGCGAGAGATCACCGACGTACTCCAACAAAATACTAAACAAGGCCTGGAGGAAAAAAATAGGCCACGGAAACAGGGTTACAACCACATTATTTCAATTTTTTTTATTTAATGATGCTCATAGATTAGCTCTTTGGCAGATTAATGGAGAATTGACCCG